TTAGGCGTAGGTTAAGGTGTGTGTTATCACTTGAAGGGACTGCACGATCAAGACAATCCCCTAAGACAGGAGTAGGTGTGGAAAGGGCAACTTGAACAATGAAATAAAAACTGGAACCAATTAAAGTTTGTTGATGCTCAGTAAATAAAAAATCATTAATTGATAATAAGAACTGCTGTAGATGAATCCAACAGTTTAAAAATGTTTTTCTGTCAGTCAACAAGCTTCCTGTGAGCGTCATACACTTGTTGTGTCTCTGCAGTGAAACACTCGAAGTCGTTCGCTGTGGCCTCTGAGGGCGGCAGCATGGAGGATCTGAGGGAGACGGCCCGACGCCTGACCTCCGACAGCAGCTTCAGACAGAGCGTGTACAAGATCATCGCTCGCAAGGACGCCTCAAACACCTGAGAGGAGCGAGAGCGAGGTGGAGAGGAGAGGAGGTCCTGAGCTTTACCTCCACACAGTCAGTGAAGTAGATCCTCATCCCAAACCCCTCATCACAGTATTGTAGAGGAACACACTCAAATCAGTTTGATCCCATCTCTGGCTGCACGTTTAAATTATAACAAGTTCAACTGAGTGCATCAAGATAACGTTTAACAGACTGAATATTCAGTTTGTAAAAATACTTCACGGACGTGGACAGAACCACAGGAACTAAAAGTCGTCTTGTTTCCATTAGTTTTATTATTTATTTTACGTCGGCAGGAGTCTGACGACAAATTCTGATCCGTCACATAAATAACAGCAAATAAACTCTACTCATCATCTTATTACCACAACTAGAATATGTGAATTATTTTATAGCAGTGAAACGCAGCTACAACGATATCTGTCTCGCTGCTTTTTAGTTCCTGTTATTCTGTCGTCCATGAAACTGATTCAGATTTGATTTTACAACAGGAGTGTCCTCGTCAAACAAGTGAATTACACTTAACTAAGTATATTTACTCAAGTATGTATTTTGAGGTTCTTAAATCTGAAGCTACGACTTATTTCAAGAACATGTAAAGAGACTTTCCCTCTGAACTTCTCCGATGGTTGAACGTGATTCAATATTTCACGAAGACGAGAGAAAACCTGAAATCAAATTTGAGCCGCTGAATAAAAACTGAGCTTTAGCTGATGTTACAAACTCTGTAGCACATGAATGATAGAGTAGAGACCTCACTGGTGTTTAAACAACAGTCGTCCGTGTGACTGTAGCCTTGTACCTTCAGTTTCCAGTGTTTTCATCACTTTCTAAAATGAGTTTTCAGGCGAATATAAATCAGAATGAAATATTTACAGGTCGTTAGCAGATAGAAAAGATGATGCACGTCCATCTTTAAAAAATGTTTGTTTTTATTTTACTCGTTTGTCCAGATTGTGTTAACAGAGCGTTCATGACAACAATGATCTCAGATGTGTTTGACTTTGACCGTTTCATTATTGCTACATATGAAAAACTGTTACTGAAGCAACTCAGTGTAATTAACAGAAGCAGGCAAATGATGATAATGTACAAATGTCAAGTGACCCGATGGCAGAATGAGAGAGAAGAAGACGGGTCGATGAAAGGACTGAGCAACATGCCTTGATGCTAATAAAGCTGTGTTTGAACCTTGTGAAAGTCTCTTCATTTCTGCGGGTCAAAGGCTGTCGGCTCCTTCACGTCCCATCATTAGCAGCACAATAAATGGCACTGTTACTGGTTGAGTAGAAAAACGTTGGTGTGGATCCATCGGAGGAGAGACTGGTTTGTTTTCACACTCACGAAGCTCAGTGTGGGCGGATCCAAGGTCACATGATCAGGACCTGCAGCACGACACGAGACAGAATTCAGTTTTATCACATTTATACGGGAAACACTTGATCTTGACCTCCGTGTTTAGTTTAGTACAAAGCTGATTAATGGATTCAATGAAATAATTGTAAAACAATATAAAGTCATTTCTTGTAGATATAGTGTCACACGATATTCATCAGACACAAACATTTCATGTGTAGTAAGTAAAGACGGAGCTGCCACAGATCCAGCTCTCCGCAGGCCGTCGTCTAATATTCCCACGCAGTCTCATTCACCTCCTGCTGCTCTATCCGATCTCTATTGCCATGGCAACAGCTCCGTCAGGGGGTGTATCGCCCTCTTTTTTCAATCTGAGAGATTGAGCAGGATTAGTGTGAAGTCAACAGTTTGTTTTTTTATGTCCCTGGGACGACGACACCCAGAGACATAATGTCTGGAGCCAGACAGACGGACGGACAGACGAACAGACAAACGGACAGAGGGACAGACAGATGGACAGACAGACAGAGAGACAGACGGATGGACAGACAGACAGACAGACAAACAGACGAAGAACAGACGAAGAACAGACGGACAGATGAACAGACAGCTGGACAGACTGACGGACAGACAAACGGAAGAACTTCGTCTGTTTGACGAAGAACTTTGTCTGTTTGTCTGTCTGTCTGTCCGTCTGTCTGTCTGTCCGTCCGTCTGTCTATCCATCTGTCTGTCTGTCTGTCCGTCCGTCTGTTCATCTGTCCATCCGTCTGTCCAGCTGTCTGTCTGTCTGTCCAGCTGTCTGTCTGTCTGTTCATCTGTCCAGCTGTCCGTTTGTCTGTCTGTCTGTCTGTCTGTCCGACCCATTCTAGTGAAGGTGATAATCTCAACGTGACCTTGGATTTCTTCATGTTGTGCAAAAACCTTCACTCGGACTCAAATATAAACTGATTAGAATGTGGAGGTCAAAGGTCAATGTTCTAGGCCACGGTGAATTCCCAGAACTCTTCTGGCCTCTTGAACGTAATATCTCAACACAAGCTTGAGGGAATTCCTCAGATTCGTCACCAATGGTCACTTGTGACGCAGAGAATAACTGATGAGAGTTCGGTGCCTGGAAGTCAAAGGTCAAGGCCGCTATGACCTTGGAAAACTTTCACTTGGACTGAAAGATGAACTATTTAGGTTTGGGTGCTCAAATGTTAAAGGCAGCGTAACAATACAGAAGGAGTGATGTAACCTGCAAAGGAAATAAAACTGGTACCTGTTGACCTTGGTACAGACACCAGGCAGCTGCTGGTAGCTGATCCACTGGAGCAGAGGTGGTCGTCTCTCAGAGCTCGTCTCTGTCCTCTGATGCTTCATCGGCACAGAGAAAGTGCTCACTGACTTCCTGTGCTGGATTGTCGGACCAGGGTTTTATTTCTTATGTATAAAAACGTATCCCTCGTTTGCTTCAGGGCTCTAGAACCATTTTTCTTTCTCTGCTTTTGATTTCTTCTCCTGCTCAGTGTTTCTCTCACAGGAGTGCTTCTTTAAAAGCCCCTGCAGTTGTCATGGACTTGTGCTTCCTGGTAAACAATGATTCTTTTCATTCAGTGGCTGAGAGACGAAGAAGGGAGCAAAGAGGAAGAGAGTCTCTGCGCTCTCATCTAATATAAAGTCTACTGGGTTCCCACACAGGCTCTAGAGTCGATTACTGTATAACAGCTAAAGATATAGGTGGTAAGTCTCATTTCATCCACGATACAAAATGATTTGGTTTGCTTTGATAGAAGAAAAATGATCAAAATGTAATCAAAGCGGCTGATGGGTAAAGATATGTACGTACAAAATAACACTGTGGGTCAGAGGAAGAGGAGGAGGAGGAGGAGGAGGAGGAAGAGGAGGAGGAGGATAAAGCCGTTAAGTGATGAGGGTCATAACGAAGGCAAGAGCCAAGCACAGGACCAGAGTTCACATCAAGCTGTGGGTTTACTTCTCGTCCATGCTGGCTTTCAGCTGCGCTTCCAGGGCCATTTTATCGAACGTACGCATGTTGGTCTCCTCCCGCACTTTGTCTCGCACATGAAACGAGGCTCGAGCCACAGAGCGAGCGCTCTCCAGCACCGCCCTCTTCTCTCTGAAGATCTGCTCGCTCTTCTCCAGCTTTCTCTCGATGGACTGCAGCAGCTCCAGGCGCCTCTGCTTCTCCTCCTCCTCCACGCGCTGCCTGTTGAGCTTCTGGAGTCTCTCCTTCTCCTGGCGGCCCTGAGCGGCCCGCTGAGCCTTCTCCTTGGCCCTCTCCTCTGCCACTAAAGCCGCCTGTTGGGCTCGTTTCTCCGCCTCCTTCACACGAGCCTCCAGCTGCTGCTGCTGCTGCATCTCACGCTTCTCCGCGGCCTTGCGTGCTTTCTGGATCTGCTTCTCCTCACGCTTGGCCTTTTCCTTCAGCTCTTGCCCTCGACGCTCCACTATCTGTTCATAGTTCTCCAGGGAGCGACTGAGCTTCTCGTCCGCTGCCCTCCTCGCCTCCTCCCTCTCCTCCTGTTCTCTGCGAGCGATTTCCTGTATCAGGGCAGCGTGACGTCTCTTCTCTGCCTTGTTCAGACCCCGTCTCTCCTCCTGGCCCTGGTGCTCCTTCTCTTGCCTCTTCAGCTCAGCCATGGTGAGCTTCTCTTTCAGCAGCAGCCTCTCCTGCTCCAGCATGGCCGCCCTCTCCTCCTCCAGAGCCTTCAGGTTCTGTTCTTGGAGAACTTTCTTATGCTTCCCCTCTCGTGCCGCCTGCTGTAACCTCAGCAGACGGCTGCGCTCCTGCTGCTCTGCAAGCTCCCTCCATCGCTCCTCGCTCTCCTCGGCCTGACGCATCTTGGCGGCTGCTGACTGTCGTTCCTGTTGGCTCAGTCTTCGCTGGCGTATGGTCACCTGGGTCTGCCACACTCGCTGGCACTGAAGCACTGCACGCTGCTTCTCTCTGTCCTCCTGCTCTCGCCGAAGCTCCTCCATCCTGCGCTCGCTGTCCCACTGGAGATGAGCCACGTAGCGGGTCTGACTCATGATGTCTTCCTCCTGATATCTAGCGAGCATCAAAGCGGCGATTTTGCGGTCGCGCTCCGACACGGCCTTCAGGCCTCGACGCTTCACCTCCTTCACTATGCGCTCCACCTTCTGTGTTGTCTGAGGAGAGTGGCTCAGGTCACCAAGGCTGAGGCTGCGACCCATCAGGGAGTTGAAGGTCGCCATTGTGCGTGCGCGGGGGCTGGAGAATTTCGCCCAGTGATCTCGTGCACCATCCCAACTGTAAGAGGAGGAGGCCCCGGACTCTGAAGAGGTGCATGTGGTGGTAGTCGTGGTGGTGGAGGTGGAGCAGCAGACAGGATCCATCCTTCGCTGTAAGGACTCCAGTGAATGGCTTTTTACTTTCACCTTGGAATGTGATCCAAGATGTCCATTGTGCTGAGAAAACGCTCCTCCTGTTCCACCATTAGAAGACGTCCCAGAGCTCTGACCTGCAGGCTTTGACACCGATGACGCTAACGTGGAATTGGCTCTGGGGAAAGAAGGCGGCTTTGGTGTTGATCTGGGGAAAGTGTTTGAGGATTTACCACCAGAGGACTTCCTGACTACAGGTGGAGGACCAGACGAGAGCGGCCGCGTGGGTTTTACTTGTTCAGTTGAGGAGGACGAAGGAAGTTTGGCAGATCCTTGGAAACTCTTGGATGATGGCGTAGAGGTCGTAGAACCATTTTTGGAGGATTGAGGAGACTTTGCATGTGCAGGTTTAGGGGAGGTACTGAGGCTTGAGGCCGGGGCTTTAGATAAAAGCTCTGTACCTTGTTTAGAGGTTGGACCCGATGCTGGAGCTCTGGAGGAGGCGTTAGCATCAAGGACTGAGCTGGAGGTCACTGCAGGCCCAGATTTAGGAGGCTGACTGGAGCCAGAAGAGGATTTATCCAAAGAGGCGGACGATACACTACCACTGCTGTTCACAGTCGCCTGCTGAATCCTTCGCTTCTCCTCCCTGACAATCCTCTCCCTCTCCTCACGGCACTGCCTCAGTTTGTCGTGCCTGTCCCTCTCGTAGACTTCAAACATCCCCGTAGCGACTCGCATGGAGCGTCCGGGAGCCTCTCGGGCGAAGTCGGCGAGCGGGCGGGGCAGCAGCTCCACAGGTTTGACCCCACATCGAGCACACGCCTCCAGGGAGCGGGGGCTCGTCAGCACGTAGCGGCTGCCCTCTGCAACCGGCGAGTCAAAGTTGTACAGGTCCAGGTGCAGCTTGGGCGACGGATCCGTCTGAGTCTGTGGCTGCTGCGGCGTTGCCCCCTGAGGGGCAGCATCTGGCCCCGGCGGGGAGGCGGCGTGGCAGGGGCTCGGCTCAGAGCTGCCAGTGGGTGGCGTCTCAAAACCAGCGTCTCCATCCTCTTCTGTTGCGCCGTCGGCTTCTGCTGGCAGTCGAGGGTGTTCAGTGGCCACAGCTGGCGTCTGGAGCTGTGGACCTTTACACTTGTTCTGCTCCTCAGCCTCCGAGGGGTCGACCATAGTTGGGTGATACTGTGGGCAGAGAGAGGGAGAGGTGGTGAGGGGGTGAGAGTGGAGAGTGGGAGGGGGTGTGATACACTAAAAGGTGGATAAAACAGTGGGAAGAGGTTTCAATTAGAGGATTATAACATTCAGTCCGAGGCTTAAGAGAGATGCAGTGTGTGGGGGAGGGTCAGAACTCAGTCTGCGAGCTGCACGCATGCATGAACACATATTCATGCACTCAGTGATTTTACACCAGATGAGACTTTTCCCCTTCAGGGAAAGTGACATAAAACACAAACACCACCGTCCTTTAATAGAGGAGCTATTTTTGGCAGAGTTACTGGGCCGAGAGAATCTGATTACTCATATCTTTCACTCTACATCACACAATCAACCTACAAGTCAGACCAGGCCCTGGAACATACATGAAGCATCAGCTCAGAGTGAAAACTGGGATTAATAAAAAAAAAAAAAAAAAAAAGACAAGACAGAAATGAAATCCCTGGTTGGATCTGTGAGGCTCAGTGAAGGCCTGGACTTCCCTCCAGCGCATCATCCTCTGCAGACACGTGACAAATAGATGC